CCGTCGGGGCCCCGTCGCCGACACAGTAAGTAGCGCTCGGTGCCGCCCGGGCCCCTCTGTCCCGCGGTGCGGGCGGCTGCGGGCTCCTCGCCGGCAGCCGCGACCCCCGCGCCGTAGCCGGGACCGGTCCGGGTGCAGCGGGAGGGGCCGGGCCGGGCCGGGACGGGCGGCGCTGCCGGCGGTGGCTCCAGCGGCCGGGGCGGGAGAGAGGCTGTGGCGGCACTCCCCGGGAGGAACCGGAGCGAGCCGGCGCAAAAGGCGCTTCCCCGATATGTCAGAGGGTCGGGAGCTGCGAGACAGGAGCGCCTGGCGCTCGGGCTTGCCCAGCCCCGTCCCGTCCCGTTCCTCCCCACGGACTCCCGGCGCGGCTCCCACCGCGTCCCCAGCGCAGAGCCCGGGTGGCACCCGGCTGACGGCGGCTCCGGGAGCGGGGGTAGGACCCCTCCCCAGGGCGGGATCGCACCCCGCGCCCCGTCACCTCCCTGGCCTCAGCGCAGGTAACACCTCGGCTCGGCCCCTGCCATGCTTTCAGGGGCCCTTCTGCCTCTCCTCACGAGTGCGACCGAAGTTAAGGCAACACCCGCCCCCCCGCGCCCCGCCGTGAAGGCTGTCCCGCGGTGCGTCCTATCTCGGGGCCCTGAGCTCCCCTGCGAAGTTGGAAAGATGAGCAGCAACAGGCGAGTGCTTCCATAGCGACTCTTCCAGTATTAGCCTGCCTCATCATGCATCCTCCTGGGAGAGAAAAAGCTCTTCCTGAGCTCTGTCATTAGGTAATGTCAGTGGGCAAGAAAAAGTAGGTAATGAAAATTGGACACAAATGCAGAAAGTGAAATAAGATTATCCTTGTACATTCCAGTAAGAATTACAGTAATTTAATACCAATGTAATTTACTTGATGCAACTGTTCCATTATTTCATTTTTGCTGTTGAAAAATGTAAAATCAAAATTTTTCATACTATACCATCGCTATGACATAACAGTGAGGAGTCTACTTGTACCTCCGTGCTCACTGCACAAACAGAACATTAGCAACACATCCAGGGCTCTCCAGAGCTACGTCCAATGATGCTAGTTACACCTCTGCTGTACTGTGGAACCAAGAACTGGTTCAAATAAATGGGCATCAGAATCAGTATCAGCTCGGACCTCAGTCCTAGGTGTGGTCAGTTTAAAATTAGGAGCGTCTTTCTAAACTCAAAGCATGTTCAGACAACTGACTGTAAAACTTGCACTATGTTTTATAAAATGCTTAAAGGTGAGAGAACGGTTACTTTATTTCCCCTTTAATTTCTTATCTACCCTTTACATTAATTCTTACTTTGATATCTTTACTCTGGGTCCCAAATAGTTAACCATGGAAGCATCACCTCAGCTGTTACACACCTCTTTACCCCTTGGACAGAACACTGAACATATTTCAGAGTGAGTAGCGATGTCTGATGGCTGAGTTTAAAGTACGAGGAAGGAGTTTTCAGAATATAAGGTGCCCGTAGCTCTTGAGTCCAGGTCACAAGTTGATGAACTTGAAATGTTTAAGCAACTACCAGTAGTCAGTCACTTATGAAAGTTCATCTCATCTTTGTGTCACTCAGAAAAATGACAAAGGAGGCAGCAAGTCTTGGAAATACTCCAGAGATCTCCTGGCATTCAGAAGCAGGAGGGTTCTTAGCTAGACATTCGTGACTCTCCACTTGCTGTTTGTAGGCATATTTCAAAGCTTGTCAGAGCCAGGTGAAGCATAGATGCCCATAAAGTGTCATGGCCAAAGTGAAGGTGTGCTAAGCCAATTTCTGATCTTACTTCAGCTTTAAATTGACTTTGGTAATACTCCTCCTGGTTGATACTGTGCCATTTGGCAGTATAGCTGAGCTCACAAGGCAGAGTGTCACTATGACAGTGCCTGCCCTGCCAGAGCAGCCAGATGCCAGCGTAGTACAATCCGAAGTGAATCGCGACAATCGGAATCAATAGGAAACAGTATGTGAATCACCGTTTAATGCACTCCAGGGTGAGTCATCCCAATTCAAACCAGCTTTCAGACCAGTACAATGTCACTCAGCGCCTCACACAGTTCAGTGTGAGTCAGATCTCACCACTGAGTACAACATGAAATGAGTCACCAACTAATACAGCGCCATGTGCCTCCAGTACCCGGTGCGAGTTGTCAGAGCTTCTGTGTGATATGAGTCACTTCATAGTACAGTAAAATGGGCTTTTTGGAGACCATTCATAATTAAGCACAATGCAACCAAGCCCTCAGTAGGAGATGATGGGAGTAAGTAGAGTAATCTGCTACATGCAGCAGTTTCACTGCATAGTAGAGAGGTTTGTAAAACATTAGGATGAATGATTTTTTTTTTTTTTTAAGCAAGCTACATAAAAATAACCAGGAGCAGATACTTTCTCTGACATCAGAGGCAGCCAAATCAGGGTTGAAGCCACAGTAAAACTTCCAACACTGGAGAAACCTGAGGGGTTTTTTGGTTGTTTTTGCTTCCAAGAGAGCTGATCAGGCAGTGTGACTGACATAAATCCAGTGAGGTCGACTCCAGCTGCCATAGAAGACAAGGAAAGGGATGCCAAAAGCCTGTGCTGTGCAGAGAAGGACTTGACACTGATTTAACTTAATTGCAGTTTGCAATGACCCAGTTTGTGAAGGGACTCAGCATGGGACAAAGTTATATCCGTACTTATATTCATACTGCTCCACTGTCATAGCATCCACATAATCAGCTGGACTGGAACAACAGGTTGCTTTTTCCATGCAGCTGGTAAAGAATTCTCTCATGTCTTTCCCATATTACAGAAGAAATAATGACAGACAGTGACCCTGCTAACTACATGTTAGAGTAATATTTTCAATTAAATCTCTTGTGATAAAATCCAAAGTAAAGCAATTCTTTATCCAGAGGAGATATAAGGCATCTCTCTAAGGAAAACAAAACAAAACCAAAAACACCTCACCCCACAAAAATCCCACTGAAACCCTGAGCAAGTCAGTTTCTTAACAAGAAAGTCAGATTTTACTCACAGAAAGACTTTAGTGCAGGAAGTTTTTTGCAGACAGTGGGCTGATGTATTGGCCAGCTGGGCAGCACCGAATACCAAAGAAAAAGGAGGAGAAGACGTCTCAGCCATTGGTAGAAAAATGCCTCAGCTGGAGGTGATGTGATCAAGGCACCATTACCTGTTACTATGCGGGTGTGATACACTTTCAGCCATTCCCTTTGAAATGTAAAGTAATATTTTAAGCTGGATAGATGAACTCAGCTCCTGTGAGCTGCTGCTCCTCTGGAAAAATAAATTAGGTCAAATAGGTAAAGGCACTCAATTTCCAGACATTTGACAAAAAAGCATCCCAGAATTGTTAGTTAAACTCATGGAAGGACAACACTTTTGCAAGTTTATCCACTTAAGCCTTTGACAGACTTGGGCACAGCAATGACATAAAAAGCTGGTTTATTCCATGTCATTGCCAGTCTCCTCTCTGCTAACCTCTGTCTTGCATTTACAAACTCTCAGCCATCTCAGTCACCTCACCACAATGCACCAAATCTCCAGTAATAGAAAATAACTTTCAAAGAGCTCTTGCTCTCAACTTACTAAGTGGGCAATCCGACAACTATGCCTAAAGCATGTGCACATGTGTGGGTGAGTTCATTAGCATATATTAGAATTCTTCTCTGTCTAAAATAGCACACTGCTTGATGCAGAAAGCCTGCTTGTCACATTTGTCAATGAAGAGGAAGAAGCACGAGCATCGAGTTTCCTGTTCATATTTCAGCTGACAATAAACTGCCACAGGCTTCAGTGGGAGTATGTTGCAGCTCCATGTATATCTGAATTGTTAAAATATAGATCCAGAGATTTACTTGGAGCTTGACCCCAGCTGCTGCAAGTCTCTCATGACATTAGTAGATAAGGACAGAATCTCTTCCAATTCGCTGGTTATCACTGTCGTGAGGATCCAAAGACAAAGCAGCAATTGTGAGAGTTACCTAACCTTCCCTAAAGCTCACTGACACCAATAGGTGGTTTCCATTGCTTTAATGGGGTTTGGATCAGGCCTGAAGTATTTACTCAAAAATAATTGCACTATATGATCCACATCTGTGCACTCAATCCAAGTGGCTGCCAGCTAGCATTATAGCACAGGGCTTCTCAGGCTGTGGAGTTACTGTGAAAGCTTCATGCTGTGGTCATGCAAATCAGCCCTGAGGACAAGTTAAAAGCTTGCACACCTGCCTGACTGTAACATGTACAAGAAGGAAACCTTATGTCTAAGAAATTATGTTTAAGTAATAGAATATTTCCATTTTGAGCTGAGAAAATGTCATTGTGCTCCAGCATAAAATGAGGATAAAAGTATAAAGTTATTGACTACAATCTTCTGCACATTCTTGGTGGGGTTTTTTTGTTTGTTTTGTTGTTGTTGTTGTTTTGGTTTTTTTGGTTGTTTTTGTTTTGGTGTGGGTTTTGTTTGTTTGTTTGTTTTTGGTTTTGGTTTTTTTGTATTTGTCCGAGGTTTGGTTTTGGTTTGGTTTTTAAATTTGACATTTGTGGCTTAGATTTTAAATATTCCTCCTTTGGGAATGCTATATTCTTGTAACCCACCTTTCTGCTGAGACATTAGCAAATACTATAAATGTTACAACTAAGCCAGATATCATCTGAGGTGTTTTTAAACAGGGAAATAATTTTCACTCCTGACCTTTACACTCCTTTATGTTTATAAGGTTACATACAGAAATGCTTCATAGTCTGAATGTTAGGCATGCTTTGGAGTGGAAAAGGTATGACAGACATACTTACTTCACCACCTCAACACTACTCTTAAAGCATACAGTAGTTTTTCCACTATTGTCAAAAGTAGTGTTTCTTTAAAAGTAGTAGCTTTCTTTAATCCTTGGACTTTTTTTTTCTTTTCTTATTTATTAGCATCAAATAATATGAGCATCTACTTTTTAATATGATTCATAAATGCTATCTTGCTGGATAAGAAGCCATTAACTTTCCTCTACTTTTGTTTCATTGTTCTTTAGGGACAATTTTATAATGGACTAAATTTGTTATTATCATTACATAGAGAAGGACATCTCTTTCCCTGGGAGACACAGAAACTCTGGCATCTGCATAGATGCTACGTTAGATTGACTTGAAACAGTGAACCAACTGGAGACAAGCTGATCAACTCAACTCCTACTCCCTGTCCTCATTTAGGGGTTTGACTTATTGGTGCTTTCCATGCAGAGTGGGGACAGTTGTGTGGATTCCTCCAGGCAGGACCTGCTGTGCCTAAGACAAGTTTCTTTATGTTTCAAGGTGCTGATTAACATCTAGGGTAGAGACTCCAAGGCTACAAAATCAGTCCAATTCTGCATAGATTGCAGGTAGTCAGAGGAGACTTGCAAGTAGCAAGTCACTTGTATGTAGTCAGAGAAACTTCTTGCAGATGCAGAAAGGTACACAATGTAGGACATTGCGTACACAGTTCAGGTAGGTAGATGATGTTTTGTATGGGGCAGCCCCAAAGAACACGAGACAGCTGGATGTAACTGCACAGTAACCCATGATTCAGAGTCCCATCTGATCCAGCCAACACCATCACTATGAAGACCTTTGCAACAGAAACTCCTCTTGCCATCTGGACACTGACTGTCCTGTTGAAGGATTTGATTCCTCACAGTGATGCAATATTAGCAAAAATCAGACCCCGTCGACTACCCAAGAATCATCAGATTTAGCCCTTCCCTATCCATAGGAATGAAAAAGTAATATTTTTTTCTATTAAATTGTTGCTACCCAAGCTCTCAGCAAGCAGACATGGGTGTCTTTGGGAGTGCTGTGATTACTTTGGGCAGTCAAACTGATAATTGAACACAGAGATAACATTTCATGTTATACCTAGCTATTGGCTAGAACTGTACCCAGGCTGGGTTCAAAGAGAGCATGAACAAGATAGCAGCCTATCTCCAGTTTTCTAATCTTCTGTGTTTTCTTCTCTAACCCATTTTCACAAGGCATGTAGCTGCTCCAGATGGTGGGGACAAAGAAGACAGACCCTAGTTCTCAAAGTGCAGAGAACATCCAGCACAGAGGATTCTCATACAATTTGTTCATTCTCATAGCACCTTCTGAGAGGTCTGGAAATCTGAGAGGATAAAGGAGGTACAGGGCGTTTAGAGCAGTGAAATTTCCAGTTTGGTGTCAACGAGATAACCTAGAGAAAGACAATATTTGATAGGCTTATTATTCCTCAATGAGGCAAATTTTAGGTTATGGAGCTCTGTTGTAGCCCAGCAACCTAGTAAGGGAGTTAAAGGTAATAGGGAATTAAACACAAACAAGAGACCAGGAAGCATCCAAGGTATAGGAATGCCAGGTGTCTTAGGGGACAAAATGTCACAAAACAGGTTGCTGAAACTGTCCATTGGGGCTCAGAGGTAAGTTCTGCTGCTAGACTTTTCTCACTTACCTTGAAGCAGCAATATAACCTTGCCTCAGTCCTAATGAGGGAAAGCACTAGAACTCAGTGTGACTACTCAAGTGACTTAAAAAAACAACCATAAAACCAAAGAATCAAAGCCCAAACAAAAGCAGAGCAGTGATTTGAGCTTGAACCTGAGGGATCTTGATGTTCCTGAACCTGCAAGGATCTCAAGAACAGCACCTCACAGGTCTGTATCTCCAACTATTTAAATAAATGTATTGAAGAATCTAAACATAACTAAACTACCTTGGAAAAAAAAAATCTACCTCTAAAATTAATGTATAGTTAAAACAAGAGTTCTCTCAAAGCATAAATGCAAAATTGTCCAAAGAGAGCAGAAACAAAGAACAATAGTTCATGCACACTGATACACATTATTCCCTTAGTAAGATGGAAAAAGTCATTTTTGGTGACAAGGTAAAATTCTCACTGTAACCAACTGTTTAAATGCATTCAGGAAGCAGAAGGAGATTTTGAAGAAAGGCATTTCAGACAATTCAGAACACCTCTGCTCAGCACCACGTGGAGTTAAGTCCAACCCAAGATTTGAAGTCACTTTTTCCTGCAGCATAAATACAAGTACCAGATCAGATCCTCAGCTGGTATCCAGTATAAATTCCCTTGTCTTCACTGACCATAGGGAAATTATAAAATTTTTCAGTAGCTGAAAAATGTCATTTTCCATTAATGTACATGAAATTAGCATTAATGCACATTATAAGTAATTAACATAATACTTTAAAATTGAATGAATAAAAACTAGGATAGAATTTTCTCTCATCACAACAAGATTTTGACATTCCAAAGAATACATCCTCTTTGTTGATGGACATACTTATATTTAATTGGCAAGAGAAAGGAAACAGAAAATACTGGTCAGTAAAAAATCCATTTAAAACTAAATACCAATTGCATGCCAGGCAAACTGAAAACCTTAGAAAGAACATCTCCATCTTGGTTTTTATCTCCAGAGTGTCAGCTGACCAAACAAGTAACTGTCCTGGGAGGCTGCTGTGACAACAAGTTAAATTTACCAACTGCCACTTTCAAAGTGCACACCTGCTAATAAGGTGATTGAAGAATATTTGCAGTCACATTTACAAAAAAATTGACCCAGTTAATTAATTCTTTGCTAACTGCATTATAAAATTTCTCTACAAGGAGAAATCTGTTCAATCACAGGTTCTTTCCCACTTCAATGCCATATTACCTAAAAAACAGTCTCATGTCAGATTTGTGTGATCTACCTGACAGCAGCAGGTGTAGGAGGATGGCTGTATACCTTGCTTTCCTCACGAATGGACTCTTTTGTTCTACAGTCAAATAATTGCTTTGAACTCTCCCCCACCCTTGAACGCGCTTAGTTTTATACACAATTCAGTTCTCAGGCTCCTTGAGCTCCAAAGTTGATTGCTGCAACTAATTGTTTTCCCTGCCCAGCTCCATACATGAATTTTTTTGCAACACTGCACTACTGGCTTAAATAAACAGAGATGGTTATTTAAGCATCACACTGAGGTTGTGGAAAGAGGTTTAGGCTACCTCTTAAACTCCTTATGAAATGCAGCAGCTGGAAGGGGGGAGCAATATCCATGTGCCTCTTCAGCTACTTCCCCACTCTACCATTTGTGGGTCTGCTGAAGGTATTATCAGACAAGATAAGAAAAGAAAACTTTTTAGCTAAATGTTAAGTATCAATATGTCATTCCTGTAGAAGTTTTAAGGTAAGCTATTAGATCAAAATGCTGTTGACAATTCTGACTTTTCATTCTTAAAACAACCTGATCACCCACAATATCAGCCTAGAAAAAAGGAAAGCCCTCTTGCAAAATTAGGAGTCACACTTCCACTCACTTTGATTACAGTTCGTAATCCTTGGCCTAGTACTGTGGGATAATAAACTTGAAGTGGTCAACAGGACCATGTGCTATAGCATCAGGAGCTACAGGTGAATAATTCTTCAACTAATATATATTGCAAGTATCATCATTGATGCAAAGAACACAGGTACTAGATTTTCTAATTGGTTTTACACTTACTGCATGACCCAGTCAGACCATCTGATGTCCCAAATTAACAACTGTAAAATTATATTAAGAGAAGACCTTTTTACTAGGAGGTCTAGAAAAACTCTCTCCTTTTTGTCCTGACACTTGGAGTCTACTGGGGGCAAAAAAAATAAGGACCTCAATTCCCACAGATCCACAAGTCAGTCAACCAATTGTTCAAACTGCTGCTAGTGTGGCTTGTACTATAAAGAAGCAAGAAATTTTGTTAATTCCTACAAATAATATTCACTGGGGTAACTGATAAATCTACTAGCCATTCCTGCACACAGCACAACTCAAAACAGTAATTCAAGCAGTTGCCTGGCAAGGCTCATTATACAGCCATGGTGGTTGCACCAAGAAGCAGCAAAGTGTGATGGAAAACTTCCATGTCCCATAGTGACATTCTGGATATACTAGAAGTAGCAGAAACACATCTACATACATAAAACAAAGCTTTTCTGTTTGTGTCTCATTCATGGCTCTGTCATTAGCTCACTGCATCTCAGACAACTTGCTTCATCTCTATGACTTTTTGCCATACACCTTCCAAGATCAATATACTTCCCTGTCTACAGTCATACTCTGATAGCCTTAACACTTAAGGTACTTTTCTTTGAAAATGAATCCTTAGATGACTTACACAAACTCAGTGTCTGTGGCTTTGCCTCTATTCCAGGCAAGAAGCAGCTTATGTAAGAGCAAAAGCAGCAGACAGGGAACTGTATCACCATGTACAGCTGCAAAATTGCAGGGTTTGGGCTTCACTGCTTTACCTTTTCCTTTTTTTTTTTTCTTTTTTTTCTTTTTTTTTTTTTTTCTGAAAAGCAAAGAAATCTAGAAAGCCAGTGTATATCTATTAAAGATAGATAAGAAAATGTGACATAACTTAGGCAGAGGCTACGTCCTACTGTGCATTCAGGTCTCATGTCTGGCATTACAAACTTGGACAATACCTTTGCAACAAGTCATTCTGTAAATATGAGGGTCAACTTTATTTTGCAATTCTGGTTAGAGGATGAAACAAAACCCTCACTTGATGCAACGTATCTGCTTCTCCCACAGATTATTTTTTCTGCAGAAGTCATAGTTAGATGCTCTATGATTCAGAAGTGAAACAAAGACATGATGCTGCTGGGCAGTTTTTGCCATGCAGGTACTTACATATTCTTCCCTTTCATTAAAGATGTCAAAGAAAATTACAAAGAACCACCTGAAATGGTAACAATGGATCCAGAAAGATCTCTTGAATTAAGTCACGATGGAATGAGGCAGGGAGGGAGAGTGTATTCTTCCTATTTTCCCCATCCTATACCTTTCTCCTTGGGAAAAAGCAGACAACAGGAACAAAATTTTCTACTCAGATCACTATCTGCTCAATTGAAATATGGATTAGAGATATGAATGAGTGAACCATCTACATAAAACATCTCAAGAGCCTATGGATTAGGCTATATAAACAGCACATCTGAATTCAAGCTACATTTTTCTAATCAATAACAAATCTTTACTGTCCAAAACAGCTTGAAATAATGTTAGATATATTAGTCTTCCAATAATGCTTTATTATACTGTCACTTTCTAACTGAAATTGTGAAAAGGCTCTATATAAAAAAGTACAGGTATCTGGAAGGAAATTAACACTTAAGAGTTTCATTCTATTCCTGTGAATCTGAAACTCTGAAGGAAAGAAATTTGAATCTACAAATTCATTCTACATTTCACATTTATTCTTCCACATTTTGAAATGAGAAAGGTTGGCGGGGGTGGGGAACTATGTTCTTTTTCTGATATTCTATTTCTGGTCATTCAGGTATTGCTTGTCAGTTAGGTCTACAGAGTTTCAAAATGGGTTATAATTTCTATCTATATGGGTTATAATTTCTATCTGTACTGTTGTTCTTGTATTTTATTCCTCCTTCAAAACAGGTGCATCTTCTGCTCACCATGTCATGCATTTGTCTCTTGGGAGAGTGGGTGGTTCTCACAAATACAAAAACTGCTAAGCTCTGTAAGACAGAAAGAAATTCAACATTAACAAAAAAAATCCAGTAGCCGAAGTGCAGCAAAATGTAATGCTGCACTCAGATAAAATAACCTCCTTTCTTCTCCTGACACTTCTGTCAAGTACATGACAACGTCTGTACCTTCCCCCTCAAGTTACAACAACAGTATTTCCTAAACCTGGCTGAACATCTTAGAAACGAAGGCAACTTCTAACCCTCCAGTATTCATTTCATTAGATTCAAGTCTGATATTAAATTATCAATTTAAAAAAGAACTCAAAATTGGTAGCAGCTAATTTTAATTCCCCTACAACTGTCACGGCCTAAAAAGGTTTAGCAACCTGAAACAAACCTACACACAAAGGGATCTCGTGACATAGGAGGATGACTAGTTATGTATTCAAAAGTCAAATACAAATAAAATGAAGAAAGACTCATTTTTGTACAAGCTGGCATTTCATCTATAAAAGACATCTGTCACATATGGCACAACCCTCAGCATAATAGGGAGAGCATTATTAAGTGCTGTAGAGCAAATATGAAGCTCAAAGATAGGTCAGAAAGGGACAGGGACTTTAAGGGGACTTCATCAACACCAATTCTCTGCATAATCTGCAAAATGCAGGCTCCAAAAAGGTTTCCTAGAACAGCGCAAAAAAAACCCCAAACAGTGCATCCATCAAAAATTGTTTCACACTGTCTTCAGTTGGGGGTCAACCAAAATACTGTAATTATTATCATCTAGTTGTGTGTTTTCTCCTCATGTTCACAGAAGCACTCGACTCCTCCTTGAGAAAAAAGCATTTTTAAAAACTGTGGCAGTCAGGCCTACAATGGACAAGTGAGCACTGGCACTACCCCCTTTGCTACAAGGGCAACCAGCAGGTTTGAAACATCCTCAGTACTCAACAAAGACCAGATTTTCAGGAGAGCTCAGGTGTCTCACTCAAGCATCATTAAGTCTGTGCCCTGGCTAATCAAATGTAAGAAAAAGAGTGGGGGGAAAAAAAAAAGAAAAAAGAAAAAAAGAGGCCCTAACTCCCTCTGTTTTGTATCATTTGCTTTAGGATTTGCCTTAAAGTCAAAACCTCATGAAACACTTTTCAACTCCTAGGCTTATATACCACTGTGCCAAGAGCTCTTCAAGACCCTCCCTTGTATGTTTTGCTCTCTGCATCACCACTCCCTTCTCATTGTATTCCCACCCATTTGCAGAATTCACTAGCCCTTTGCCTTCCCCCTCAGCACTTAAATGAGTGAATCTTCCAAAGGATTCAACACCTAAGAGATTCCATGGGGGGAAATCAGGTGTTTAGCTTTTCAATTCCTTTGTAGCTGTGGCCTTCTGCACTTCTTGGTAAGACTTCTAAAGCAAACAAAAGGGAAAAAAAAAAAAAAGATAGATTTCTTACTTCCCCCTTCTTTTGCTGTCTTGCAGCCCATGGGATCAGAGAGGACGGAGATGCGCAAACGGCAGATGTCTACAACCCAGGACACCCCAGGTGCTGCACAGGCTCAGCTCAGCACAGGAAATCGAGGGTCCAATGCCTGCTGCTTTTGTTGGTGCTGTTGCTGCAGCTGCTCATGGTAACCCCTCTCCTTAAAACCTCTGGGGAACAGAATTGCAGGGAAGGAACGCATAGCTAGTATATAGGACAACAGAAGCCAAACAAAACACCTGTGTAATTCTGCAAATCTGGGACTGTGAGAGATGACTGTGCACAACCTTCTACTTCAGTCTACTCTTTCTTTGCCCTGCCATTGAAATAACAGATTTTTAAGAAAATATTTGCACAGTATCTTACTTTTGTTGTCAGTACTGTGCAATGGAAGGTGTGTTCTGTGCAGGACTGGTTCTCCTCAGCATTGAGATTCACCAAGGCTTCCACTAAAAACTGAAAGCAATATCAGAATGTATCACAGCTTTAGATTTAGATTTGGGACTCAACAATGAGAGATAGCGGAAGGTGAAAGAATTTGTAGGTCAGAAAATGAATAACCAGGTGCCCAGCATTGTTCTTTTCCTCCCCGAAGGCAACTGGATCTGTTGTCATTAATTAGTGCTGCCAACTCATGGCACCTGCAATTCATATGAAGCTAATCCTTGGAATCAGAGACTTTAAACATTGTGGATACTTGCTGAAAATGAGCAGTAAAGCAGAAATAATTCTGAAGAACTCCCATTACAGGGTATTAAGGAAGAAAATCTATCAGGGAATCAAAGCAAAAAAGGACACGTAATCACTTGATTCCTTAAATTAATGATGTGTTCACCTTCACTTTCTTACCAGCTCCTCTAGATCCACGTGATTTCATTCAAAACTGAAGTAAATCTTCCCATACTGTATGTTTAATGGCTGAGACCAGAACTTGCATTGAAATTAAGAAAAAGTCTTAAACAGCCATAGGAGTTCAACCAAAACACTGACAGCAAGCAGAGTGCATCTTATAAACTCACCATCCACAACTCAACCACTTCAGAGCAAGCAAACCTGGCACTGAGGTGAAGAAGTCATAAACAGACTTAGAGCCCACGCTAGTAACCTATTCTACCAATTTTCCAATAGCACCTCGTGGCAAATGCTTTGGAGAATACCATTAGAAGGCAAGGGAAGAGCAAGCTGATTGTTTCTTTGGTATAGGTACTCAGCTCAGCAGAAGCCAAGACAATGCAAACAATGAATAGTTTGCAAGAATAAAAGGCTGCTTGGAGGGGTTTTTTACAAATGCCCAGTACTCTGGTACACTAAAAAGCTTTTCAGCAGGAGCTTAGAGGTAAACTAAGGTAGAGTTCAAAGAGGTATTAAGTACTGTGTCTGTGCAGGCTCAGAGTTTGCTACCTTGAAGAATGACATCTATGTTAAAGCATCCCACACAAATTCCAGTGCCATCTCATCAGCTGTCCAGTGCAATTGCAAGTGGCTCAGTCCAGAGCCTCATTACACAAACATGTTTTTCCATAAAAGGAAAAAACAAAACACATTTATCTAAGAGTACATAAAATTTGCATTTTACCTTTTAAATTGTTGATAAAGTGCTTTTTTGACATTTTACCTGATATTTTCCAGAATGCTCATTTTCTGTGCACGTCACTATTCAAACAATTCAAAGAAAGCAATTTACTCAATAGGGTGTGTGAAAGTACCCAAATTTCATGATGCTTTAAACTCCTATTTGCATTTTGGAATCATCTGGGAAACCAGTACAGGCTCTGAAACAGAGCAGCTTGTTTTAGCTTTAAAATAATTCCTGATTTTTTTTTTTTTTGAGAACAATTGTTTTCTAGTAGCAAGAAATGCAAAACAAACCGTAATTAAGCTATTTATATTCCCTATTCATAGACCCTTTCCTCAAAATAGCCCATGCACTTGGAACAGAAAAATTATGAATAAAAATAAAAATAACAGTCTACATGAGTCATGCAGCTGAACATCCATTATTCAGCATACTCTTAATAGTAGATTTAGAATGAAATTAAATGAGATTCTCAGCTGGATGCTCAAAGCCTGTGTTCATTCCTACAGCCAAAACTCAAGCCTCCAGCCTGTTACTCTTCCAGATCCTGAGAGGATGTAGTGTTGCACTAGTCTCTTTATCATTTACATTTCTAGGGAAAGAACCTGCCTGTAAGTAATTTTCTGAGCCATGTTGTGTTCTCTTAGGGAAGCTTTTGTTATTCCTTTTGTCTTTTTCCCCTTTTCTGCATTATCCTATGAAGACTGTAATCCTTTCTGTTGGATCTGTTGGTTCCCCTCAATCCACAAATAGCTCCCACAAGAATATTGCTTCTTGTCTGTGTGTGAGGAATATATAATATATCACTTTACATATACAAAAAAGGCCAGTAAAAAGGGTAGTAAATGCTTGAGATCTACATAACCCAAAAGAATAGAGAAGTAGGTTTTCTACTTACTTTTTTCTAGAAAGGTAAATTCAAATAGTTCATTGGTTTGAATGTATGGTTCAGATGTCGCCAAAAAAAACCCTGTTTGCAGTATCTGCTCTCCAACAGGAAACCTTTCCTTTGCCCTGGCAAAGAAAAAAGCAGGTCTCTGCAAATTATGGACTAAGAGTAGGCAAAGCAGGAGAACGAGATACCCAGTAAAATAGTAAGGCTGCAAAGAAGACTTAGCCAAGAGTTTAGAAGGCAGAAAGGGCAGAAAAATTAAGTGGTTTAACAAAAAATCTCATTAGAAATAAATGAGACTCTTCAGGATTAAGGTAACAAAACTTAGAACATGAGCATGGATGAAAGGTAAGATACAAATGAAGAAATTGTTTGATATTTATCAAATTGTAACAACTGTGTTGCTTTATTTCAGCTGGAGGACACATTTCATATAAATTACAGGTTATATAATTCACTGGGACTTTTTCTTCTTGACCTATTTTAAGCAGGTTTACAGATTATATGAATGTGTGTGTCTATGCACATGTATTTCTTCCTAAGTTATGAAGACCTAAATATACTGGAATGTAGTCTCCATTCCCTAAAAAGGAATTCCCTAAAAACAAAGTGTATTTTGTCAAATCCAGTTTCAAATGAAAAAGAATCATCTACAACTACAAAGCAAACTTTTTTTTTTTTTTTGGTAATGCTACAAACAAGTGCTTCCTGTCAGACATACTCAAAACAATATTCAGCAATGATAGATTCACTCTTTGTGCTCCAGCCTCACATTTTGAAGCATATACTAGAACTTTCTTAAAGCTGCAATTAATTACCACACAATCCGGCTGTATCTATATCTGAACCCTGAAAGATGTTTACTTTTCCAACATCACACAGAGAAGTCTCTAGCTTAGTTAAAACTTGTATCCAGCTTCTGAACTCTGGCTTTCTTGTAACATGGTATTACCACTCCAAACCAGAGTCTTAGTCCTCATTGTGCCCCTATGGCTATAAAAAAAATTAGCCAAGGAGGAAACAAAACCCCTAAATAAACAAATTCAAAAGCACCTTGAAATCTAACTCACATAAAACCAGCGCATCAGGTCTAACCTAAGCAAAAACAGTGCATTGAGCATACACAGTATAATAAGCATCAACAGAGAATAGATTTGATATGCAATAAAGAGTAGGCATGTATACATATATATCCCATATACATATATATACTTGTGTATACACATATATAGGGAATTGGACCTGATGATCCTTATGAGTCCCTTACAACTTGAGATGTTCTATGGATATACGATCCCTCTGTAGAAAGTCTATGTGATTCAATATCAAACAGCATTCAGCTACACTCAAGTTCGCCAAGTTTATACAACTGTAAAATTAAGGTCAGAGTTTAACTATGGCTAATGTGGCTGTCATTAGCTTCTGTCCTTTTAGGTTTTTTTTTAATATCTGTGTTCAGAATTTTTCTCTACAAAGTTGACTAAAATTTTGTTTGCTACCTTGCAGCCTTACTGTTAGAAATCAAGAAGAAGAGAGAGCAAGGACAACATCTCATGAACTACAAGCAGAGGGTATTCCAAACTGCGAGGAAAGGTATGGTCTTTATTAAGTGTTCTGTCAAGCTAAAATGAAACCCAACAAACCATACTAAGTAATTTCAGTGAATAACCTGAAATACAAAAATATCTATTATCTACTTGTCATCTGTTTTTTACCTCCAAAGGTCTGATCTATAATATTTTACCTTGTTTATATGCAGGATGTAACCACATGTAACTACTCTCATAACACGATAGATCAAAGCCAACATGTAAATAGTCTCCTTCTTTTCTGAAATAATTTGAAAATACATCCTGTTCCCACCCAGCAACTATGTAATGAGGTTAACTGGCAGTGCTCAGCCTTACAAACATAATAGAATAAAAAGGAGCTCAGATCCTCCCAAGAGTTAGGCAACAGTCTTTTCAGAATTGTTCAAACAGGTAAAAGCACCTGCAAAATGGTAATATACAGGCCATTACCTTTCATAGTGTTTAAATCATTGCTTCTTTATACAGATTTTTATTCAATTTTTAACAACAACAAGGATTATTAGGTATAGAAAAAAACGCGTAGCTGTTGCAGAGGTACTTCTTTGTTGCAATTACTTTAAGAAGTAAACTGCAATTTCTGCATCAAAGCGCTGAGAATCACCTGCATCAGAGCTTTTGATAAGCACACTTTCAAAAAACAAAGAGTTTACACTTGGGTAGTTCCACTGAGGAATCAGAGCCCCATGAACCTTACGATTTTGTTCCATCGTGATGGCAGATACCGCCTCCCAGCTGCAAATAGCTTGAGTAACAATCATTTATTTCTCTCTTCTTGTGCTCTTCTTCCTCCTCAAGCCCTGCTCCTACTCTCGAAGAAGTAAATGCCTGGGCTCAGTCATTTGACAAGTTGATGCTTACACCAGCTGGCAGAAATGCTTTTCGTGAATTTCTACGAACAGAATTCAGCGAGGAAAACATGCTTTTCTGGATGGCCTGTGAGGAACTAAAGCAAGAATCCAACAAAAGTGTCATTGAAGAAAAAGCAAGGCTAATTTATGAAGATTATATTTCTATCCTTTCTCCAAAAGAGGTATATTACTTTTCCTAATACATTCTTTGATGCTGCTTTGCACAGAAGTTCTAACTTGCTTAAAGCTACACCCATAGTCAGGGAGAACTTTTTTCACGCCCTCCAGTCCACTTCCATCAAGTAGGGATTTAGGGGAAGGAGGCACCCATCACTGAGGTGAAATGGTCAAAACTACTTTCACTGGTTGGAAGAAAGCGCATCCTATGCTACCATGGCATGCTGACATGGAATTTTCAGTTTGAGCCACAAATACACGTTATCATGTTATCCTTGCTCAACTTAAATTTTATTTGTTGGACAAATCATTTTCTTTTCTCATTGCACCAGGAAGGCAGTGTACGTGTCTCCAAAAGCACATTAACCACAAATAAAGTGTTATTTGCAAATCGCTCAAAGAGCAGCTCACAAAATATGCCACAGAACAAACACAACGACTTCCTGAAAATTTCCAAAACTACTCATCACTTTGCTGTTAGCAAATATGCCAGGTTTAAAAGACACCTCTGTTCAGTTTGAACTGCCAAGCAGGCTGGAATTTTAAACCTTTCAATATCCTTGCAAAACTGCAACTTAATTGTTTGTGGTGCAAGCTATACTTACATACTTATAGAAACGCTGTTTAAACCTAGTCAGTCTATTCTCATAATACTAATGTCTTTCTACAGACACTAGAGCCTTGTAGAAAAAAAAAATTACTTGTATGTTGTATGGAATTATAATATACCAATATATCAATTATATATATATAATTATACATATACGTATCAATTATATCAATTGATGTGAACCTGTGGTTCACATCAATTCACCCTGCTCTTTAACAGGAATTTGATTAAGCAACAGCTTCCCAGGTTACATTTTCCGACTGCGTCATACTCCTTACTCCAAATTCAGCCTCTTTACAACAGCACTCCAGGAAATGAACCTTCACAAAAAATTACAAATCCTCTCTACTACAGAGCAGGAAGTCGGCCTGGAAATAACCCACTGGTCTCTAAGGCTTCAGTAATAATGGGATTGCAGGCAGCCTTCTTCAAGTAAGATACCTCAGTGAGGACATTTCTGTATCCATACTCAAGATACTACTTCTTCCAAATTTTAACACAGTCAATTTTGCCTAAGTATATTTATCAGTTTTTACACTCATGGAGGACACCAGCTGAATTGGTAAAAAGATCACTTTTTCAGCCTATAAAAGAAACCTAAAACCTCACCTGTACTATTCACCACTATTATTTACATGACTTTCTATTTTAACACACAGGTCAGTCTGGACTCCAGAGTAAGAGAAGTGATTAACCGAAATATGCTGGAACCCTCACAACACACCTTTGATGACGCACAGCTTCAAATCTATACCTTAATGCACAGAGACTCTTACCCACGGTTTATGAACTCTGCTATTTATAAGGATTTGCTTCGGTCCTTATCTGAAAAACCCATTGAAGCATAGAATTTTTTCTTAAATGTATTTATTTTAAAACAAATGGAACTCTGGGCTACACAAATCCACAGGGAATTTAGAATTAATCAGATATCTACCTGAAAATAACTCAGGCAAGTTTTACTACAGACTGAATTATTTAAATCCGCACTGGCAGGCTCTGTCACAATCAGCTAAATACAGTTTCTGATCAAATTCAGTGTTACTTTGCAAAAGGGAATGAACATAATGAAGAGAAGATGTTGTTCAAAAAATGCAGTATTTTTTCAAACACAAAACACTATTCAGAAGAAAAATTGTTACAGTGTATGTCTGAGGTACAAATGCCAACTGAGCGTGAAAACTAAAATTAATTTTTAAGTGGAGTGTTAGAATTGTCTTGAAAACCAAACCAGTTTCCCTATCCACACTGTGACCCAAGTAAAAATATTACTGTCAATACTTACTCCAGGCAATGCCATCATACCTGGCATAGGTACACTCCACCTGTTTTGGTATAATTAATGTGTACACGGTGTGCTAATGGAAATCAGCACAGCAACCTCAAGTTTATTAAAGTTACTGGTTGAAATAATGCTGCCTATTAAAAAAAAAAATCTTTTGAAGAGTTATTATTTTACTACTAAAATCTGCTGAAAGCATTAAGTTCCTATTGTTGATGTTTATAAAGTTAAATTATTTACTTCAGAGGAAGATGTGTCTGGGCATTCAAATTCCAAAATAAAGCACAAGAATTGCCACACATTATTCTCTTCCCTCAGTAGGTATGTGTAAAATCCTTCACTATTCACACCCATGAGGATGGCACCATCAGCCATCTTGGTTCTGTACATATTAAATTCTCCCATTACCTGACAGATCTTGTAAGGTTTCTATTACACATACACACACAATTTAATTAATAAAAGCAGGAAGCTTGAACTGTTGTGTTCTGACACAGCACTATTTCAGACTGACAGCACTAGCTCTATCCAGTAATAAACAATGTTCAATTACTGGTACCCCCAAAGCATTACACTTGATTTCTTGTCATATCTCTAAACCATTAATCACAGGAAATACCAGGAAGAAAGTAAGTTGAATCCACATAATCTGTGTGTAGGTCTGTAATTCTAATATATTCTTTTAAATTACAAGATTCACTACAATTCCACTATATTAAACTCTGGATTTTATAGTGGATTTCCACTGAATTGCATTTTTTAAAATATTTATTTAAATGACACCAAATGGCACATATAGTTACAAAATTATATACAGGAAACAGGAAAAAAAAATACCCCTAGAAAGGGAGAACCAGACAGGTACAGTTCAATGATGTGTACTGTAGCCCTTCCAAAACCTACACTTTGCCTAATTCCAGCACTGTGGGAAGTACAAAATGGGGACTTTCTCTAAAAAAATAGAAATGGGAATAACATAATAGTACTTGAGAGATCAATTTAATTGTTTCCTCAATACACTTGGCAGGAGACATATTCTCCCCTTACTGCATTTGCATTATAAAACAAATTAATGATGAAATATTTCATTACACAGCATCACAGGAGAAGATCCAATATGTGGTAACTTAACAATACTATGGACCAGTTCAAGGCCAGGTTGGATGGGGCACTGAGCAACATGGTCAGTGGGAGGTGTCCCTGCCCACGACAGGGGGGTTAGTACTGGGTTAAGTTCCATCACCACCCAAATCAGTCTATGATTCCATTACCAGTTTTCATCATCTCCTTCCAACAATATAACACTATTCAATATGTCAGCACAAAAAAGTAAACAAACAACAAACAAACAAAAAACTAGAGAGCAAATCAACATGGTTTTGCCCTCTGCAGCACAATTAAATTAGGAGGAAATCCTTCCATATATAGCAACTTAAGCCATAGTTCAGTTAGTGCTTGCCACTGCTTAACCTATCAACACTGGTTATCTCAGCTGAATTTTTATTAAATGCATCCATCCAAAGCACTATCAGTACAATTTCAGTTTACATGAAGTATTACATGATAAGTAGTAACTTCAACAAAACAAACTACATCTCTTCATGAGGAGCTTGCAGTTGAACTCATGATGCTGTACTTGTCTTAATCAGGGTGGGTAAGACTGCTCTAAAACTCTAAGTTGATAAATTAAGTTTAACTAGGTCAAATTCGGCTTGTTGGAAAGATGATATGTCTAGATGACAAAAACTTCAAAGCATGTCATCTCATGAAATGAAGGACTTAATTTCTTTTTAAGTTATTTCTCTTCCCTGCAAAGATATTTCATTAAAAGCTGAAAGACAGACCAAACACTCACACTTCATATCAAACAGTAAATTCTATTATTCTGCAAGAAAAAGAAAAAAGACACAATGAAATCAGAGGAGAGAGAAACCTATAATGGCTTGGGCAGTTCTACGGTTAACATTAAATTATTAAAATAAGAAAGTAATAATTTCTAAGCTTATTTTTTATGTGCCACAACTTCTAAGCAATTAAAATTCTCCAATTTTCATTTTACTTCTGCATTACAATACGTTGACATTTGCAACGTGCGTTTTACCTGAAGTATCTTAACAAACTTAATGCTGTGCTTTAGGCTTAGGCTTGTACCCAACCCCAATGGTTGGGTATGCAGATTCCTAGATATCCTGAGAGTATCTCCTAAAAACCCAAACAACACACTCCCCTAAATATCTTGTTATTTTGAGGTTGGTTAATGCTTGATTGAATTGAAGTCATGGAGGTGGGAGGAGGAGGGGGAAGAGAAAAAACAAAAAACCCTCCCACACGGAAGACAGGTTTTTAACTACATTTCATTCCTATTACTTGCTCATGATGCACAAAGTTCTCAGGGCAACAGTGAGGTGCACTGAAAAGGAGAATTTACCATAGACAAGCTGTTACATGAATAGCAGGAAAAAATAATCATATTGACATATTGTTTATAATTAATCAGGTAAGAAATTATCACAAAATCAATTTATCCTAGCTTGAAAATGAGCACGGTTGGTTTGCCTTGGCATTTATCTAACTGCAGGATATCATTAAGCTCTAACAACTTTCCAGTCCACTGGCATTTTTCCTTCAATGTCTGCACATCATAAAGCAGTAACTCCCACAGAACATGCATACTGTTAAAGATTGCTCTTTTCACCAGCCTGCTAAGCACTATTAAAATTGCATGGGCTTCTTCAGCCAACATATTGTGCTTTACAGTGACCTTTAAATTCCAAAGTCATTAGCACAATATAAGTGAAGGAAAAAAACCCCATATATGTAGGTACTCTGAAGGGCTTTACTATATAAAGTTAGATTAAAATTTATCACACCAGCATCATGTACTTATGCAGTTCCTTATTACAAAGCGTATCTGAAAAAAAAGAGAAAGTGGTAAGAAAGACTCTCACAATGTGAAGTAAATTTTTTAACAATTTTGCTCTAAGCAGTACTTAGGAGCACGTGTCTTTTGCCATAGAAGATATGAGTATTGTTTCAATGACATTAATGGAAGATTTTCTAGACTAATGTTATAACTAAATTAATCCCAAACCTTTTAAAATGGTAAAACAGTTCAAGGTTAGTGATGATGTAGCAAAACAGAAGCTAATATATAGCTGCATGATATTGTACTTAGAGAGGTGAAACTCCTCAGGTTGTTTATACAAATGACTGTTATTTCAAGATCTATTTCCAAAAGCGTGTCCCTGAAAGGTAATACAACCACATTTTGCAGAACAAAGACTTCACATTTATGAATTTCAGTTCTGCCCAGGCTAGCATGGGTTGTAAGTTTCAATTTAAAATTCACATATGTGACCACAAGTGGAATCCCGCGCTCTGGATAAAAACTAGGTACTTCCTTTGAAATGCTTGGAAAGTGCAATTGGGCTGCAGTTCAAAAAGAACTATTCAGTACACAGTATTTTAAAACCCATACTTTCTCCTGAATGAGATAACACAGTATGTGAAGAAGTGTCTTCTAATAAGGGATACAGAAGTCGTGTTTTCTGAACAAAATCCTCTAGCCTTGCTTACAGAAGACGGTCAGTTGGAGAAAAGAGACACAGCCCCAGTCCCATCTCTGCCATCCTTCTCCCATATATCCTTCAGACTTTGCACCGTCTCCGACCGAGGAGGGCAACTTCAGACAGCTGGGAAAACTGCTGAACAGAGGTGCATCCAAAGCTCACTTTTAGAGAGTTTTAATTTTGGATTTAGGTAACCAAAGTAAAGCATGAATAGAATAGATGTATTGTTGGATCTAGTTCTTGGAATTCATCTCTTGCTGGGCAAAAGAAACTGTTCTTTTCACCTTGGGGACAGAAGAGGGAAGGGTGAAGGCTGCTGCTCAGCCATAAACTAACATTAAGTGAAACCACATTTTATTTCAACTCCTACTTGGACACACCTACCTCACAGACAGCGCTACCACAGTTGTAGTTGTTTTAATAAAGTCCAGATATAACTTGGTGAGTACAAAAAGACAATTATTACATTTTCTCAAAGAAATTTTTTGTAAGTGTCACAATCAGGTACAAAGACTAAAGGGCATGTAGTGTGAGGAAGGTTATGCAAACCCACCTGTGCCTGCCCCGTGTATATGTGTTGTAAACAGCTGTGAAAATGTCTACTTGGCACCCAATTTGCAATCATTTTTAACACAATTTTTGGACTTGTTCCTTTAGAAAGGTCCCCAAACAGAGCACTCAGTAATTGATAGTAAATGTTTGTAGTCTTAAACAACAACAACAAAAAAATCAGTTGTGCATCTTTAAGTAACTCTTAGGAAATAATTCTACCAAAGGACCTACACATAGGCTAAAAATAGACTCATGCTCTTAGTAGAAAAAAAGAATGTTTTCTGAAGGGCATTAATATAAGTTGAGTTAAAAGGTTTATATATAAAAAACTATGCAAGAAACTTTAAATGCTGAGAAATTTTCTGCCTGGAAAAAGGTTTATAACAAAACTACTTCTATTTCAATTGTTTTCCCCTCACCAGAAGAGCCATGTTTTCTTCCTTGCACAGGTTGACTAGAAAAGCTTGCTCTGTAAGTATTTATCAAACAGTTCTTGTCTGACAAAGCTCAAGTGTCATCATACTATTTCCAACTTATTTGTTAGCAACTGCCACCGTCACACAAAAAATGTTCAACATAGAGAATCTTGTTTTTCCTTTACAGTCACGGAATTTATTCTCCAGGAACCGCACATACTCTTCCCAACCCCCCATGAATGCTTTACACGTTGCCAGAATAGACCTTCTCAAGCCCCAGGCTTCAATAAATTAAGTAATATAAAATTAGGTATAACGAAAGAATTTACTTAAAGTCAAGTTGTCATGTTTTTCCTTGAAAACACATTTGAAAATACTTCTAAGCATGGGCACTGTGGAAAACCAAACTCTAAAAAAGCAGTATTTGTACCATTCCACATATGGAAAAGACCGTAACTTTAATAATTTATTTCCACCAGCAGGTCTGTGGTTGACAGTAGATACTCTACGATTCAAAATTCAGTTCATGAACAAAATCAATGTCATTTATATGAAGAGAATATAGTATTACTTCCCCAGCTAGTTTATAATGTAATGAATTAGTTAGCTGGCATTATTAGGGCAGCATACAACACAATGCCTTTGCTCATTTGCAAAGTCTAAACCCAATTTGGTTGTCAAGCACATTAAGCAAGACTGAATACTCAAATCAGATTTAACTGACTATTTTAAGGCATTCCTGGAAATAATACCTACTGAGAGAATGTAAAATACATGCTTTGGGCAATAAAATATATTGCATCGATCAAAGCTGGCTATATAAACAAGTTTAACCAACAACTGCAAAAGAGGTCATCATATCCACTAATAAATTTTCAAACCTTATGACCCAAATTTAGTTCTAGTCCAGAAACAGTATATACAAGCTAGAGAGTTAACTAAACTGTGAATTAGTTAACAACTGAGTTTATGTAATGAGGAACTTATATACCTTTTCTCTTTGCAAAGCTAGTGAACACAGCAGCAAGAAAGAAATTCCATTCTTACAACTGAACAAATGTGGAAAGGTAAAATACACATGGGAGGAGCGTGTATATTTCAGAACACAAAAAATACATTACATTATTCACATAGTTAGAAAAAAAACCAAGACAATTACCAAAATATTTAATTGGTAAAAGTTTAATGTCAACTTACTTATAAAAATGAAAAAATATTTTAAAATTCACCATACAATTGAGCAACCTGGCCCTACTGACTATCAGCTATAGGAAGGTATTTAAGGAAATGATGGTTGTGTCAAAACAAAGGCTAACTTCAGGCATGTATGCTGCTTTAAAAAAGAAAAAAAAAAAGGAGAAAGAAAACCAAAACCCCCTCTCATTTGCAGGAAGCTAAAAGCTTAGCCTAGTTTTTAAAGCTAATTACAAAATCCTTTTTCATACTGGTCCAGATGTCTTGACAATTTCTTCTTCTAACAGAACTGTCAAAAGAAAAGAATTTTTTATGAGATCTTTATACAGCTTAGTTCTACATCTTTGCAAGAAGAAACAGAAATATGACACCATACTTTGGATATGGAAATTACTAGTTATAGCATTTGCTTATATTGTAACCATTCCTTCACTCAGGCATCTGTATACAGACACTTCTCTAACTGCCACATTATGGAAGGTTTTAAGGACAAATGAACTTTTCCAGGTACTGCATCAAACAATTTCTAAGCTTTGCATATTATTTGGATATCTCAGACTACAGATCTGAACAATATACAGTAATAAGATACATAAAACAAGATGCA